ATACACAATGTGGGGCCAGAACTCATGACCCTAAGATCAAGAGTTGCATGTTCCACCAAATGAGCCAGCCAGACACCCTGAAATTTGTTTGATTCTATCTATTAATTTGTTCTTATCAATTTAATTAGACCAATGAAAAAACCTACTATAGAGGAAGGGAAAATGTTTCCATCTTCTCAATAGAGAGGATGTTTACCTTAAGAAAATTAAATTGCAATGGTTAAAGAAGTAAATCTAAATTGCAAATGCATAACTGAGGTAGGAAATGGCTCCTTTAGGTTCTTTCACCATCTTAAGAAAGAACTCAGTGTGTCAAATTAAGATTTATAAACCAGATAAATTGAGGATAGTAATTTACATTAAAACAATTCTCTGATTTGTAAGATTGTTAGTAAGCTCTCATTCTGCTTTTGTATTTGATTTGTCTTTTTTTTCTGTTTGCATAATTACACCCCCCTCCACCCCCCCCACCCCTGCCCCCCTTCACAGCTTGGTTTGATGTCTTGTTAGCTTTTCTGGTGATTGTCTATAGAGTCCAGTACACTGTACAGCTGAGTCAGGAGCCCACTCTGTCAGAGACCCTGGGACCCCTGGACTTTGGCTCTTCTCCTGAAATGAGGGTGGAATACCACATGTGGTAGATAGAATACTGCATTGTCCCTAACATGTATGTCTCCCAGTGTATACACCTTGTCGAGTGCTCCCTGGGAGTGAAGATGGGACCTATGAATATGGCGGGATATCACTCCTGTGAGTAGGGTATGGTATATGGCAAAAGTGAAAGAATATTGTAAAGGTATTTTTTTTAAAAGATTTTATTTATTTATTCATGAGAGGCACACACACACAGAGAGGCAGAGACACAGGCAGAGGGAGAAGCAGGCTTCTTGCAGGGAGCCTGATGTGGGACTCGATCCCGGGACTCCAGGATCACGCCCTGGGCCAAAGGCAGGTGCTAAACTGCTGAGCCACCCAGGGATCCCCTGTAAAGGTGTTTAGGGTCTCTAATAAGTTGACATTAAGTTTATCAAAACAGAGATGATTTTAGATGGATCTGATTTATCTAGATCTTAAGGTCTAGAGAAGAAACAGAAGAAGTCAGGATAAATGTTTTCCCATCTCTTCACTTATTAATTATACTCTTAATGAGATTTAGATTTGAACCAACAGCAGCAGATGTTCTCTGGTTGGCATTGAGGAAGTGACTGCCATGTTGTGGGGAAGGCCTTGCATGGCGGGGCATGAGCGGGAGCCCCTGGGAGCTGAGGGCTCAGTCTACAATCACATGGAACTGATTTCTGCCAACAACCATGAGCTAGAAGAGGACAGGGAGCAGAATGTCATAAATTACAAAGTTTGTGGTAATTTGCTACCCAGCATAGAAAGTTAATACATTGTCCTCACAAAAGTCCTTCTCCTGAATTTCAGGATTCCTACTCTCTCTTTCCCCAGCTTCATTCCTATCTCACGGCACAATCCCTAGAATGATCTTTGAAGACTTAGCTTAGGACCAAAGTCTCAGTGCATATCTCCTGAGTGAATGAAGTAAAAAACGCAAACATCTGGATACTCTGGAGTATTCTGCTTCACATATTTCACTTCACTCCGGTGTGTTCATGAATAGGATGAGGCTAAATGTTTTTCTATGGGGCAATTATGGTTAAAATGCAAATGAGTGCTAAACTTTGTCTCTGAGGCTGTCTGGTCCTGGACTTTTATGTGTTGGGAGTTTTGTGATTACTGATTCAGGTTCATTGCTGTTAACTGATCTGTTTAAAATTCTTATGTCTTCCTGACTCAGTTTTGGGAGGTTATTATGTTCCTGGGAGTTTATCCATTTCTTCTAGGTTGTCCAATTTGTTGGCATATAATTTATCATAATATACTCTTAAAATCCTTTGTATTTCTGGGGTGTTGGTTGTTATTCATTCCTAATTTTGTTTGAGTCCTTTTTTTTTTTTTTTATGAGTCTGGCTAAAATAAAGGTTTATCAGTTTTGTTGATCTTTCCAAACAACCAGCTCCTGGTTTCATTGATCGGTTCTACTGCTGTTTTTGGTTTCTATTTGATTTATTTTTGCTCTAAACTTTATTATTTCCTTCCACTGGTTTCATTTTTACTTTTCTTCTTTTTCTAGTCCTCTTAGGTATAAGGTTAGGTTGTTTCTTTGAGATTTTTCTTAATTCTTGAGGTAGGTCTGTAGTGCTAGAAATTTCCCCCTTAAAATGGTTTTTGCTGCACCCCAAAGATTTTGGACCATTGTGTTTTCATTTTCATTTGTCTCCATATATTGTTTGGTTTCCTTGGTGTTAAAGTCTCCTGCTGTCATCGTATTACTACCAATTACTTCCTTCATGTTTGTTATTAGCTGCTTTATGTATTTGGGTGCTTCCATATTGGGTGCATAAATATTTACAATTGTTCTATCTTCTTGTTGCATTATTCCTTTATGATTATATAGTGTCTTTGTCTCCTGTTACAGTCTTTGTTTTATTTTTTAAGCCTTTAAAATTTTGTAAAAAAGGTTTTATTTATTTGAGAGAGAACATGAGAGAGAGAGAGCACGAGCAGGGGGAAGGAGTCGACCGACGGAGAGGGAGGAGCAGACTCCCCACTGAGTAGGGAGCCCCATGTGGGACTTGATCCCAGAACCCCGGGATCATGACCTAAGCCAAAGGCATATGCTCAACCACTGAGCTACCCAGGTGTCCACAGTCTTTATTTTAATTTTTAAAGATTTTCTTAAAAATCTTTTTTTCTTTTCTTTCTTTCTTTCTTTCTTTCTTTCTTTTCTTTCTTTCTTTCTTCTTTCTTTCTTTCTTTCTTTCTTTCTTTCTCCTTTCTTTTTAAAAGATTTTATTTATTCATGAGAGACACAGAGAGAGGCAGAGACACAGGCAGAAGGAGGAAATGCAGGCTCCATGCAAGGAGCCTGATGCCAGACTGGATCTGGGGAATCCGGGATCACGCCCTGAGCCAAAGGCAAACGCTCAAGTGCTGAGCCACCCAGGCGCCCCTACAATCTTTGTTTTAAAGTCTATTTTGTCCAAAATAAGTATTGCTATCTCGGCTTTCTTGTCACTTCCATTTGCATGATAAATGTTTTCCCATCCCTTCACTTATTAATTATACTCTTAATGAGATGTTTTAAGAGGACGTCATATCACATAGTTCTTTTTCAAGTTAAAATGCATCAGAATTTTGTTAGGTTAGATTCTGTTATTTTTTTAATGTTTTAAAAGATTTATTTATTTATTTATTTATTTATTTATTTATTTATTTATTTATTTATGATAGACATAGAGAGAGAGAGGCAGAGACACAGGCAGAGGGAGAAGCAGGCTCCATGCTGGGAGCCCGAGATGGGACTTGATCCCCGGACTCCAGGATCGCACCCTGGGCCAAAGGCAGGTGCCAAACAGCTGAGCCACCAAGGGATCCCGGTTAGACTCTGTTATGCTTCAGGTATAAATGAAATACTTCTAAAATGTATTTCTTAGGTGTTTTATGGACTTAACATGACAACAAGTTTTAACTATACACAAAAGTGGAGAGAAATACAATGAATGGTTGTGTGGATTTTGTATTGCTGCTGCAACATATCACCATCAATTTAGTGACTTAAGCCAACACAGATTTGTTATTGTTCTATAGGTCAGTAATCTCACTGCACTAAAATCAAGGTGGTTCCTTGTCTTTTCCAGCTTCTAGGAGCCACCTGCCCACATTCCTTGCTTGTGTCCCCTTTCTCCATCTTCAACATCATTAACAGCAGGTAGAGTCCTTGTCAGGCTACAGCTCTCTGACCCTCTGCTCTGGACAGAATGCTCATGTCCCTTCAAAATTTTTATGTTGACATCCTAATGACTGATGTGATGGTGCTTGAAGATGAGGCTTTTGGGAGGTGTCAAGTGGAGCCTTCACAAATGGGATCAGTGTTCTTATAAGAGAGACTTCTTGGGGCTCCCTCACTCCTTCCACCATGCAAAGACACCGGGAGAAAATGCGGTGATGAGCTAGGAAGGTGGCTCTCATTTGCTCTCTCAGCAACCATGCTGGTACCTTGATCTTGTACTTCCAGCCTCCACAAGTTTGAGAAATACATTTGTGTTGTTTCTAAGCCACCCAATGGGTAATGTTTTGTTATAGCTGCTTGAATGGACTGACCCATCCCTGTGTTATCTACCCCTGTCATACAGCGGGGAAAGGTTCTCCACATGTAACCACCAGTGATTAGATTGGATTCAGTGGGATAACCCAGGAGAAACTCCCATCTCAAGTCCTTAACCTTAATCACACCTGCAAAAGTCCCATTTGCCATATAAGGTAGCAATCACAGGTCCAGAGATTGGGCTGTGGATGTCTGGGGGGGGGGGGCATTGTTTCTTCCAATTGCTATGCTATACACCTATTTCCTTGCTTCAACATAATTAACATTTTGCCAATATTATTTTTTCTCCTACTTCCCTGTTTTCTTATTTCCTGGAATATTAAAAGCAAATTCCAGAAATCATACAATTTGGCTGTCAATACTTTCATTTCTCTAATCTTAAAAAAAAAAAAAAACCACAATAGTATTATTATACCAAAATCACCAACAATTCTTTAGGGGCACCTAACATCCATTCTATTTCCAAGTTTCCCAATCTTTAAATATATATTTTTAAAAGCTAGTTTGTCCTGATTATGACCCACAGAAAAGCCCACGAACTAGCATTTGGCTAATGTGTCTCTCAAACCGGTTTTGTAACAAATCTCCCTCTCCTCCTCTTTTTTTTTTTTTTTTTTCTGATGTTATTTGTTAAATAAAGAAGTTAGGTCATGTGGTCTGTAGATCTCCCCATTCTGGATCCAGCTGGTTGCTTCCTGGTGATGGAATTTACCTGGTTCATGGGTCTCTGTATTTCCTTAAGCTTGGAGTTAATTACAGGCTATCTTGGATTCAATCTTTTTTTTTTCCTTTCTAGTTAGCAAGAATAGAGACGATGCTGCGTACTTACCACTGCATCGTATTGGTGTGCATGTAGGGTAGGTTGTCCCAGTTTTCGTGATGGTAACATTGTTCATCCAGACATATTCGAAAACATCACAATGTTCTTGATCAATAATAATGTTGCCATTTACTGCTTGCTTATCAGATGCCAGGCATTGCGCGGGTCGCTTTCTATATGATGTCTATTGTATCTCTGTATGTCAACTACACTCACAGATTTGCAAACATACGCTAGAATTGCTTGGTTGGAAGACTTCGTGTGCCATCGCTTCGAGCTTCCGTTTACTTCTTGTAACGTAGGGTAATGATTCTGATTCTTGATTTATAAGCTTATCTTGAGGATTATTTGAGATAATGGATGGGAAAGCCCTTTGAAAAGTAGAGCATGCGCGCTATACTGGTATAAGTAACGTTAGTCTTAAAAAAAGGGAAAGAAAAAGGAAGCCCCCAGTAATAGTCGCCCCAGTGGTCTCGCGCGCTCATCACACAGCCCTCGAAGGCAACGGCCCACGGCCCGCAGCGCCTCCCGAGGCGCGGGAGGCCCCGCGAGGGCCCACCCCAGCGCCCGCCGGCGACGGAGGCAGCGAGTGGGCACGGCGCCACCTGTCGGCGGCGCGCGGAGGCCCGGCCACTCGGCTGCCGCCGCCGGGGCCCGCCGACACGGCTCCGAGCCGCGGCGGAGCAGACCGGGAGCCAGCTCCAGGCCGCCCCGACCCGCCCCGGCCCGCGCGCGCTCCGGGGGCTCACGGCTGCGCGGCGGCAGCAGACGTCGTTCCGGGGGCCCGGCGGGGACTGAGGCCTCGAGCGGAGAAGAGAGCCCAGGAGACACTGAGGACGACACGGGCCGAGTCGCTGAGGAAGAGGCGGCCAAGTGTAGGGTCTTGCTTCTTTGCACCTGCCGTTTGGGGCTGCTAGAGGAGCCCACTGGGGTTCCCGGCCGGGCGCGGGCGGGGGCGTGGCCTCCTCGCAGCCCCTCGGCGCTTCTCGGCCGGCCGCCCCCGGACGGCGCGCGCTCGGGGGCTGACGGTGGCCCGCTGGGCCCAGTGCGCGGAGGCGGAAGCGCAGGTGAGGGGACGGCGCCGGGCTCCCCGGGGGGCTGAGCGCCCCGCCCCGCGCCGCCCCGCCCCGCGCCGCGCCGCCCCGCCCCGCGCCGCGCCGCGCCGCCCCGCGCCGCGCCGCCCCGCCCCGCCCCGCGCCGCGCCGCTTGCTGCCGGCCGCCCGCTGCAAGCACGATTCTCCGTGTACCCTCAGGACCGTGCTCTGAGAATTAGGCTTCCGGGTTAACTGGCGTCTCTTGTTCCTGCAAACTGGGACCTTCTTGCTTTCTAAGGATTGCAAGTTAGCTTATCGAAGAAACGGTATTCTGGGAATTGGCCATTTATTTGCGGGAGAATCACGATTAGTCAAGGCCCGTGTATTAAATCGTAGGGGCCTCTCACTTTCTAGTTTACTGATGTAGATTGACCAAAAAAAATCTGTCTTACTCAAAAATACCATTTAAGGGGGAACATGTAGCATTTGAATAGCCATTGATGACACTGTGTTGATATATTTAAGGCAATGGACAAGTAAGAAAAAACCACAGGTCAGTGCATATTAGACATTTTTTGATGCTGTTTTTGGGTGGAGGGAGTTTAGAAATTTTAATGATAGCTTTGAAGTAACAAATCAGTAAATGGATAAAATGTTTTGTTCCCAGTTTTGGATTGTAGCTGCTATTTTTACATATTAGGCAATAGGGAACAATGTGCCGTGCATGTATTGTGTTAATATGCTATGCTATCATTTAAGAGGGCTATTCTTGAATAATAACATGGCAATCGTTTTTCTTTAGCTGTTTGTTTTCTATGCTCGAAACACACATCAGTTTCCTTCTCTGTGTGTCACAGGGCAGCGGCTGCTGTGCCCTCTAGGAACTGGTGCGTTAATCACTTTAATAAATAGCCAAAGGAAACATTCTTCAGCAACAGCACACACATTTTGCTTTATAAAGGCGATCTGATTTGGGGAACACAAGCCAACTTAGAGCCTTCCTACCAGTCTCATCTACCACTAGTGTCCTTAAAAAGGTGAGGTGACTCAGTGATGTTTCCCTAAACCCAGGCTCCCAAAACTTCTTTTTATATATACAGGTGGTGTATTTAGATCCAAAAGGAAGCTCTTGCTAGAGGACATCATTAGCTTGCTAGGGTCCTGTGTGTGTGTTGTGTGATTGTGTGCTTCTTCCTTTTTAAAGAAAATTGTGGCAAAAACTGCATGACATAAAATTTGACATTTTGACCATTTTAAGGTTACAGTTCAGTGATGTTAAGTACATTCACATTATTCTTCAGCCATCACCACTATCCATTTCCAGAATTACTAACAGTACACAAGCATTCCAACTTATCCACATCCTTATCAGTGCTTGTTATTTTTTGTTTTGCTTTTTATAATAACCATCTTGTTTCTCTCCCTTCCCCTCTTTTTTTTTTTTTTTTTTCGAGCGACTTGCCTAAAATCACATACTAGGAAAGAGCACAACTGAGATATAGACTTCCCCAGTTGCCCGGATCATGCCAGCCCCAGGGCTTAGGAGAGAACCCAGGAGCTACCAGGCATTTTCATGTACTCCCCTTTTAGAAAGAAGGCTGTTTCTCCAAAACGTCTCAGGAAAGACTGTCAGTACTTTCCTCTCATCAGAGGGCCACCCAAGCTTTTCCTTTGTAAGGGTTCCACACAGGGGCTGGTGAGAAAATGTGTTCTGTGCACCTGTTTGGGCGTCTTTAAATCCCTGCCTGGCACTCTGACCAAGGGGAACCGGACATCTTCTCGATCTGTTCTTTCTATGACTGGAGACTGTGAAGTGTTTAAAGACCAAGACTGCTGTTTGTAATTCTAAAATGTTTGGGGACAATAAGATTAAGTGTAGCCCATTGACTCCACAGATGCTTCTTGAGCACTTACTATTCACAGGCTCAAGATGCTTCTTGAGCATTTACTATTCACAGGCACCATTCTGAGCACCAGCAGAGGGGGGCTGTGTGGATGGACAAGGCGAGGTCCCTGACTTAGGGAGCTACAAACCACTGCAGTAGGAAATACATTTTATATCATGACCAGGATACACAGATCCATGTATATAAGGTGGAAACAAGAGTTTAATAAAATTGACAAATTCACCTTGGAGGGGGGAGAAAACAGTAACATTTTAGTAATTTTGCTTTTTGAACCCAAATCTGCTAATGTAAAGGGAAGCATGTAATGTGGATGGAATTCTTCACATGAGCATATTGTCTTTATTGAAGCCACTCATGGCCTAGTTTTACATCTTATGAAATAAGATGGATAAACACATTCTTTCCACATGTCTTTCTTGAGTAGGTGTGTATGGCTGTGGAGATTTTAAGTCATTGACTTACTATGATTGAACTACAAGGTCAGGTTTATATTTAGTGAAGAAAAGGCATAGGAACTTTGCATGTCAAGTATTAGAAAGTCCAACTCGGTAAATGAGTGGAGAAAGATGGCCACAGCTTCCAGATTGTCTCTGATGTCTCCCCTTATTCTCTGCTGGATTTCCTTCTCCCTCAGCTGATTATGGCTATCTGAATCAAGTTTCACTTCTTTGAGCCTGTCAGAATTCACCAGATTGGAAGGCTTACTCTCTAATCTAATCCTGACATGCCTGCCTCATGGAAAGATTTACTGTTTAAAAAAAGGGCACATTTGTGAACATTATTTCTATCAATCTCATGACATCAGTGGAGGTAGGTACTGTGACACCCCCCCCCTCCCCATTATGAGGCTTGGAAAGGGTAGGTGGCTTGCCCAAGGTCACATAACAGAGCTGTGGGTGGGATTTTTACCAGTTCAGCATTGCTGTTTTTTGCTGGTGGGTATTCAGAACCTTAGATAAGATAGTGGAAGAGGAACAAGTGGCTGCTGGTTTCCCCTTGGAGCTTTTTGGTTTTCCTCTGCCTGCTAAGAAGGGTAGCTGTGTGTGCTCCTGTGGTGGAATTGTCTGTCCTTCCCAATCCCTTAGTGCTCAGCATGCTTGTTTCACAGGTTGGCCGTGTCAGGAAATGAAGCAGTGCTGTCCCTGAGGTCGGCTTAAGTGCGAATTGGCGTGAGCACAAGGAGGAGGTCACGGTATCCCATCTGGAAGCAGCAGTAAGGTAGGAGTGGCATCTCATTACCTGGTGTGCGCCCGGTGTGCTGGCCTTGCTGTGCCATTTCTAGGGGGAGGACAGGATCCCGGCCCCGACTCCCATCAGCCGTACAGAGTACTCTGTTCACGTCAGGAGGTCAAAGGGGATGTATTTTGGCCGCAATGTGGGAGACAACACTGGGAGATACTGATTTGATGAGTAATACAATGAGTTTGGATAGAGAAAGAAGTTTTCCAAGATTTGAGCAAAAGGGAATTTGGTTAAGGATTTGGTGTCAGAAGTTGTCAAAAAATGATTTCCACTCTGAGGAGGAGCTCTTGTTCTTAAAAAGGATCACATTTTACTGGAGAGCGGATTCACATGGTGCTAGGGTTTTCACGAGATGTGTAACAGGAATTGGGAGCTGGGTCAGCAGAGCCAGTGCCGCCCCTGCGTGCAAACCTGGGCCTCGTCTCTGTGTCCTGTCCTGCTCCTGTTGGTCAAGGGAAGCCGGGGCCCTTGGTCACCACTGAAACCGGCTTCTTGGATGAAGGCAAGTGGCTGTAGATAGAGGAGCAGCTATAAAGCTGTCATTCCGGTTTTCATTTCGGGGAACTTGGAGCCTTTAAAGAGCAACGGTGTGCAAGGTAGGAGAACCTGAAGGCTGGGCTCCTTCCTTTCAGCTCACCCTCCAACGGCTGAGGAAACATGAAGGTTTTAGGAAGTTCCAGCTGCTATCATGAGGATTTCAGAAGACTCTGAGGCCTTCTGAACGAAAGTGAGATAGTAAGACGGAATGGTTGCTTCTGATACATTTGACTGACTTGAGCCAAGGGAAGGTAGATGGTAGTAAGAAATACATTCATGATTCCTCTCTCTCTGTCTCCTATGAGCAGCCCCCAGATAGAGGCTCCATGCCTAGTCTCACTGGTGAGTGGCTACCAGCAGCATTTTTACCTCATTCTGGAGTTTGATTGCTGATACGTGGATGACAGCAGGAGCCTCCTTACGTTCTCCTCGACTGCATCAGACTGAGAGTAGCCTCATGGGTGGAGTCAGGCACCCACACGCCCTGAGTGGCCTGGGCTGGCCTGATTTGCACCATGGCCCCGTTCTTATTATCCTCAGTGGCACATTGCACCTCACAGGTGTCTCCTGTTGGAAGAGAAGGTTTATGGTGATTCTAGTTATGTGGCATGCGTGGCTCATCCTTAGATGAACAAGATGGCAGGTGGTTCTAAGTGCCAGGACAGGGTATGGCCGTCAGTCAGTGGTGGTCGGACCGCCTGATATATTTTTTTAATTTTTTATTTATTCAGAGGCAGAGAGAGAGAGAGAGAGAGAGAGAGAGAGAGGCAGGCAGAGAGGCAGAGACACAGGCAGAGGGAGAAGAGAAGCAGGCTCCATGCAGGGAGTCCGATGTGGGACTTGATCCTGGTTCTCCAGGATCACACCCCAGGCTGCAGGCTGTGCCACCAAGGCTGCCCCCGGACTGCCTGATAAAGACAGTGTGGATGCTCAGAGTAGAATTCCAGGCGGAGCAGCAGGTCGCAGATTGCACGCTTCGCCGCCTTTGACCTCGGTATGAAAGGACGCATTTAAGCCTGGCATTGGCATCCTGTTCCCTCTCCAATCAAGTACTTGCCTAAATGAGGCCATTCGGGAGCAGAGAGAAGGTGAACCCTTGGGTGCCGAGCTAGTCCTGCCCTTCCAATCTTCTCATGTCTCCTTTTCTGAAGAGACACAGACAGGAGTGAGGACTTAGTACAGCAGTTTCCAGAGCTCTGTTTGGAGGAGCATGAAAAGTATCCATCATTTATCAGGTTCCGAAGGCTTGCTTTCTTTTTTTTTCTTTCTTTCTTTCTTTCTTTCTTTCTTTCTTTCTTTCTTTCTTTCTTTCTTTCTTTCTTCCTTCCTTCCTTCCTTCCTTCCTTCCTTCCTTCCTTCCTTCTTTCCTTTCCTTTCCTTTCCTTTCCTTTCCTTTCCTTTCCTTTCCTTTCCTTTCCTTTCCTTTCCTTTCCTTTCCTTTCCTTTCTCCTTCCTTCCTCTTCCCCTCTCTCTTTCTTTCTTTCTTTTCTTTTCTTTCTTTTCTTTTCTTTCTTTCTTTTCCTGAGAGACACAAAGAGAGAGGCAGAAGACACAGGCAGAGGGAGAAGCAGGCTCTCTGTGGGGAGCCCAGTGTGGGACTCAATCCCGGGACCCCGGGGTCACACCCTGAGCAAAGGCAGATGCTCAACCATGAAGCCCCTCGCCCAGTGAAGGCACTTTCAGTTCTGAGGCTATGTGTTAAACTTTCGATAATGGCTCAAAATGCATGTTTGTCCCCATTTATTTTTCTTTAGGTAAGATTTACAAAATGTTCCGTATCTTAATGGTTGGTTGTTAAATAGAATGTCACCATGCAGGAAGCAGGGACTTTTATGGGATTTGGGCTGATGTGCAAATGTGAACAGTTCTGGAAACTGAATTTTGCAGAGATGATCTTAGACCCTGTAAGAGTAAGAATGTTCTTGACTCCTTGATTATCCACCATATGAAGGTTCCTGGATTCATCTCAGAAAATCACCCCCTCAGAAAGGGATTTTCTGTACTTATTGGCTCAGTGGGATCAGTGGTCAGTGGCCCCCAAGCCTCTACCGCGAGACTTCTGGAGTTTCTCCTGTACCTGAGTTCTCTGCAGCCATCAGGTCACTACCCTTTAAGATCTTTATCTTGAGGGATTCCTGGGTGGCTCAGTGGTTGAGCGTCTGCCTTTGGCTCAGGTCATGATCCTGGGGTTCTGGATGGAGTCCCAGGTCAGGCTCCCTGCTCAGTGGGGAGCCTGCTTCTCCCTCTTCCTCTGCCCCTCCTCCCTGCTTGTCCTCTCTCTCTTTCTCTCTCCCCTTCTCTCAAATAAATAAATAAATAAAACCTTAAAAAAATAGATCCTCATCTTGAGTGTAAGGTGAGGAACTTTAGTAGCATGTCACTTCTTAAAGCCCCATTTCAGGTCATCCCTGTACCAGCCTTTCTCTTCAGATGTGTCAAAAGTAGATGCTTTTTTATTTTTTAAATAGGATACAGACTTCATTTATGGTTCAGGAGAATCCATAAACATTTTAAAGTTTTCCATAGAGAAACCACTGCACATAAATGTCTCCTAACAGAAGACCATCCAGAATTTTAAGGCTAGTTTGTGGGTGAAAATCCGTATTTGTGAAAACATATGCTGCAAATGCCCTGTTGACAGATGGGTCGCTCTGTGAGACCCTGGCCTCTGAGCGCAGAGTGAAATGTATCGCTCGCATCCCTGAAGTACATTGTCCATGAATATTCACTTCCTTTGTGGAAAGCGATGTGAAAAGTGATAAATTCACAGCAGAGGCAACACAATAGGGGCCTTCTGGCCTATTGATTTGTAAAGTCCAGGAGGGGTCGCAAATCCTTTTGGGAGTCAAGTTACACTTAATATTTATTGACTGTTCCATTATGTCTCCTATCTTAACATCCCCTGGATAGATTCTTGTTTAATGATTTCCAAGATGTTAGTAAAACTTCATCATGTAATTGCGAAGATTATTCTTGTAGCATAATCCAGTGAATTATCCTTGTACGAGTACCGGACACTTCATTTATTCGGGAACATAGGTAGGATTCTGTAACTTAGTTGTTCTTAATGGAAGGAGCTAGTAGTGTTCGTGGCATTATCAAGAAACGCAAACCAGTCCTTTCTCTTCCCCCGTAGGTACATGGCTAAGCCCTGGACACCTGCTGTACCTTACCCAGGATTCCATGGTCTGTCGTGGTGAATTCTTGATGCATTTCACTCTTGGATGCTGGTGACTCCCAGGCAGGAGACATGGCTCTGGTCAGGCTGGGGTTTGGAAGGCAGCATCTTTGTCTGTTAAAGAGAAGTTTCCTGCTGTTGAAACTCACCGCTGTCGTCTTTGCCGTGCTTCTGTTTTGTGAATTTTTAATCTATTACTTAGTGATCTTTCGGTGTGATTGGCCTGAGGTGAAAACTGCAGCCCATGGCAGTGGACAGAAGACTCTGAAAGCCATGTTTTTGGCTGACACTCACTTGCTTGGGGAAGTACGAGGCCATTGGCTAGACAAATTACGAAGGTAGGAGCTATAATCAGGAATCTTGCTGAAATTCTTCTGGCAAGAAGGTAGATCCTTCTCCCTGTAGGTCAGGGTAGTCATTAGTTACTTTCCTCTCAAAGAGAGACACGTGGGGCATTTGACTTTTCTTTGAATGTACTGTTTACAGAGCATCTGTTATTTGTAAGGACCCAGGATTTGGGAGGCAGGTCTGGGATTGAGTCTTAGGACTATGGACAAGCTAATGAGGGCCCCTCCAAACCTGTCTCTGCCTCCTTGTCTGTAATTGGTTGACACCAGAGACTTCACAGGCTGTGCGAAGGAAATGCCCACAGCAAGGTCTGGCACCTGGGTGTGGTCGGCTGAGGTTCCCCTTTGCCCCAGGCAGGAGAGGAAGCAGACCAGGGCGGGGGGGGGGGGGCCCTCTCACAGTCACTGGTGTGGAGTTTTGGGCAGGTTTTTGGCTGCTCTGGGTGGCAGGAGCAGAGCCAATCAGTGGCTGTCACCCTGGGGAGATGACCAGGGCCGTCTCTCCAACTTGGACCTGCTAAGTTGTCCACTGGCTTTTCTGTCAGAAGGCTTTTTAGAAACTCTAATTGTGGTAAAACACACATAACGTCAAAGTTAATCTTAAGCAATTTTAAGTGTATATTTCAGTCCCATCAAGTACGTTCACACTGTTGTGCCTGTTGTGCAACGGTCACCACCAGCCACCTCTAGGACTTTTTCAGATTCCCAAACTGAAACTTGGTCCTCGTTAAAGACCAACTCCCCACTGTTCCTTCTTCCTGCCCCTGCACCCTCCATTCTGCTTTCTGTATCTATGGATTTGACTCCCCGAAGGTCCCTCATGTAAGTGGAGTCATGCAGGATTTGTCTTTTTGTGTCTGGCTTATTTCACTGAGCATCACGTCCTTGTGTCCATCTGTGTTGCGACACGGGTCAGAATTTCCTCTCTCTCTTTTTTTTTTTTTTTAAGATTTTAATTATTTATTCATGAGAGACACACAGAGAGAGGCAGAGACACAGGCAGAGGGATAAAGAGGCTCCCTGTGGGGAGCCTGATGTGGGACTTGATCTTAAGAATGGGATCATGTCCTGGGCTGAAGGCAGATGCTCAACTGCTGAACCACCCAGGTGTCCTGGAATTTCCTTCCTTTGTAAGGCTGGATGATATTGCATTGTATATTTAGACCATATTTTGTTTCTCTGTTCCTCGTTCGATGGCTACTTCCACCTTCTGGCTATTGTGAATAATGCCCACCACATGGTGACTGATGGGGCCTTCATCCACCAGGGTAGGCAGCAGAGCCTTCTTCTTGCACCTGGTCACCCTATACCCTGACTTCTTTTCCTCATCATGACCACATGGTGCCTGTCTAAATAGATCTTTAGCCTTGCAAGCAGGAATATCATTGGAGTACTCTGGATTTGGATGAACCTTATGTTGAGTGGGAGGGTAAGATGTGTAAGATTTCCAGGGGTGAGGGAAGAAGGCAAGACAAAAGAAGGAAAGATGGGGGGGGGGCTGCCATCCTTTACTCAGAGGGTTTTATTTTTTAAGATTTTATTTATTTATTCATGAGATACACAGAGAGAGAGGGGCAGAGACATAGGCAGAGGGAGGAGCAGGCTCCCTGTGGGGAGCCCCATGTGGGACTCGATCCCAGATCCTGGATCTCGGGATCACACCCTGAGCTGAAGGCAGACACTCAACCGCTGAGCCACCCAGGTGCCCCTACTCAAAGTTTTAAACCACATGAGGCATGAGATAAAGAAGGGCCATGGTGAGATTTCCTTTGGCCTTCTTTGGTCCTTACCATTTGGGCTTTCTTCCCAGCCCTCTTGCTACTGCCGTTTCTAGATGCTTTCTCCTCCAGGGTGAATAATACTCAATCAAGAAAAACTGAGAAATGAATTTTGGAAGGTGTCTTGAGTGAAGATGTGCACCATGCAGCAGTTTACATGTGGCCTGGATGGTCTTCACTGACTCCAAATTTATGTCTTCCCCTATTTATATGCCGTGGGATGTCACAATTCTCTTTGGTAGGGGAGAAACAGCCCAGAGGATGCCTTAAAAGGGAGGGAAGAATTGGGGTCCTTAGGAAAATGCCACAAGTCATAGCTGTTTGGGGAGAGGGGAGAGTGGTTCCAGAAATCACTGACATGTTTGAGCATCTCCTGTGTGTTGGTCCTGTGCCGGGCATTTTACAAATGCTCTCTCATTTAATTCCGTAACTGCCCTGTGAGAGTAGGTTTATTATTCCCATTTACTAAAGAAGAATAGGAACCAGAGAGAGAAGGCGACCTTCTCAAGGCCAGACGACTGGTTATGGGTGGAGCTGGGGTGTTAAGCCATTGCTTGTCAGGTTCTAGGTCTCAGGTGTGTGTGTGTTTTTTTTAAGATTTTATTTATTTGAGAGAGAGTGAGCAAGAGAGAGAGCATGAGTGGGGATGGGAGGGGCAAGGGGCAAAGGGAGAGCAGGGAGCCTGACTTGGGGCTTCATCCCAGGACCCTGGGATTACAACCTGAGCCGAAGGCAGATGCTTGACCGCCTGAGCCCCCCAGGAGCCCCCCAGGCTCTTTTCATTCACTTGTCTTACCTGTGGGTGATTACTTGGATGTCTGAAGTCCACAGGATCTACAGTTTTGATATCAACTAGTCTGACTCTCCCATTATTGTCCCCAATCCCAAAGGAATGCAGGAAGTTGAGGTCATTCAAGAAGAAGTGAAACTTCAGCCAGACACTGTCATCTCCTTGATGTGGTCACAGCCCACGCCGGGCATCTTTGGGAGCTGCATTGAGCTCTCCCTGACCTCTGTCTGGGGCTATCATGACTGAGGGATGGCTTCCTGGGTGCAGTGTCAGGTCTGATCTGTGCCACTGAGGGGAAGTCAGCTCTTAAGATGTGTGGGCGGGGCAGCCCTACCCTCGCTGGGGCCATTGTTTCCCATATTTACTCCTATACGGACTCTGAGCCTTGTAGGCATGGAGAAGAATGCAGGCATGGGGCCGTGGAAGGAGAATGGGACCATTCAGTTCAGTTTTTAAATGACCCAGAAGATGGATCTAGGCTCTACGTAGGAAATAGACTAATGCTGTACTTCTTCCTGTTGACCTCAAGGGAGTGGCAAATGGAGAGAGCTTTCCAGACAGCTCTGTGGTTGTTGCAGCCAGAAGTCGTCTTCATTCTAGGGGACATCTTTGATGAAGGGAAGTGGAGCTCCTCCCAGGTAGGACCCTGTGACTCAGGCACCCTCGTCCTGCTTTGGGCGTCCAGGGCAGGCAGTACAGAAAATCCATGAAGCGGTATCCATGAGGGTGGGAAGTTTTGCTGAGTGCCAATGTTAAAAATATATAGTTTACCTGGAAGATTATTAGGATCTGTATCTCATGCCAGTCTTGAGATAGGCAAGCTAATTATAGACAGTTACCCCTTGCACAATACTGGGTTAGGGATGCTGACCTTGTGCAGTTAAAAATATGGGTATAACTCTTGATTCTCCCCAAACATAACTACTAATAGCCCACTATGGACTGAAAGCCTTGCTGATAACACAGTTAACTACCTATTTTGTATGTTATGTATAATCTATTCTGTATTCTTACAATAAAATCAGCTAGAGAAAAGAAAATGCTGCTAAGAAAATCATAAGGACCTTGACGGTACTGTGCTGTCTTTATAAAAAAGGGCCATGTATAAGTTGACCTATGCAGTTCCAACTCTTGGTCAACTGTCAACTGTATTTGTTTATGTAGGAAGTAGATTAGTCAGAACTCATTTTGTAGGAATGCACATTCTCATGAGCCTCTTGGGAAAGGGAAAAAAGGAAAGGAAAAAAGAGGCAAGGTGCATACAATTTGACTTGGCACCAGAATTACAGAATATATAATGAAATATTCTTTGATTTTATACTTGTTTATTTAACCATGAAATTATGAGAATTGTGCTATAAGAGTTACTTGCTACTTTCCTTTTCTTAAAGATTTTTTTATTTATTTGAGAGAGAGTTGGAGGAGGAGCAGAGGGAGAGAGAAACTCAAGCAGACTCTGTGCTGAGTGCAGAGCCCAATGTGGGGCTTGATCTCACTACCCTGAGATCATGACCTGACCTGAAATCAAGGGTTGAACACTTAACCAACTGCGCCAACCAGGCGCCACTCCTCTTATTTTTTTCTTCTGAGGGAGAGGTGCAGAAGGAGCCATGGAATGAGGGGGCCTGGAATGAGGTTCCTGTGCCTTCAGGAGCCTCTGTTTGGGTGTTGAGGTGACATAAGCTTTTCCATAACCAAAGAGATAGGCTGTTCTCACCTTAGCTGTCAAAATATTTTGCTTATTACATTCCTGGAATTAATGGGAAAAAAACCTGTTTTGCTATTTAGTTAAAGATATTTGGTCATGAATGGTTTTTAGGAGGGATTTTGTGGTATGGAATATATTTTTAAAATTTAAATTCAATTTAATTAACATATAGTGTATTATTAATTTCAGAGGTAGAATTTAGTAATTCATCAATTGCATATAACACCCAGGGCTCATTCCATCACGTGCCCTGCTTAATGCCCATCACCCCGTTATCCTATCCCCCCCCACTCACTTCCCTTCCAGTGACCCTCAGTTTGTTTCCTATAGTTAAGAGTCTCTTATGGTTTATCTCCCTCTCTGTTTTTGTCTTATTTTATTTTTTCTTCTCTTCTCCTATGTTCATCTGTTTTGTTTCTTAAATTCTACAGATAAGCGAAATCAAAGGGTATTTTTCTTTCTTTGACTGACTTATTTCACTTAGCATAATACATACCCTCTAGTCCCATCCATGTCATTGCAAATGGGAAGATTTCATTCCTTTTGGTGGCCGAGTAATATTCCCGTGTGTGTGTGTGTGTGTGTGTGTGTGTGTATCACATTTTAATCCATTCATCTGTCAGTGGACATCTGGGCTTTTTCCATAGTTTGGCTATTGTGGATATTGCTGCTATAAACATTGGGGTGCATGTGTCCCTTCAAATCTCTATGTTTGTATCCTTTGGATAAATACCTAGTATTGCAAATGCTGGATCATAGGGTAGCTCTATTTTTAACTGAACCTCCATACTGTTTTCCAGAGTGGCTGTACCAGTTTGTACTGGGGTGGGATATTTTTTTAAAAAACCATTGGCATTTCCCAGGATAATCCAAAAAGCTTTACAAAGAAAGTCTTGGTCCAGATCTGGTTAGAAACCCCCTGTTTATGGGGTTTTTATGTTTGTTATAATGTTTTATGTTTGTTCCACTTATATGAGATAAGTGGAAATTCTATATGTAATTATTAGCTAGTTATAAAATGATGCTGGATATATGTTGCTTTTGCAAATTAAGGGCAGCATTTTATATTTTTCTTTCTTTTTAAAAAGATTTTATTTATTTGAGATAGAGAAGTCACAAACAGGGGAGGAGAGGCAGAGGGAGAGGGAGAAGTAGACTCCCCACTGAGCAGGAATTCCCAACACGGATAGTGGGGGCTCGATCCCAGGACCCTGAGATCTTGACCTGAGCCAAAAGCAGATGCTTAACCAACTAAGCCACCCAGGTGCCCATTTCTGTTTTTCTAATTTTATGTTATTCTGATTTTATCTTATCCTAACTTTAAATATTATTTGTTAAAGTGAAGTCTTTGTAAATGTATTGAAGGACTCTCCAGCATATTTCTGTAGCTTGGGCCTATTTAAAACTTTTAGGATAAAGTTGATTATTATCCAACTAAGTATCGTCTTCCCTCATGTTTGTCCAGTTGATGTTTTTAGACTTAATAAGAGCCAGAATGATAGAAACATAATCCTCAAGCTTTAATAGTTAAAGCATATGTCAAAATTATGTGGAAATATTGATTGGATTTTATCTTTCTTTTGCCCATATCCCATCCATTCTCATTCCTATTGTAGCCACAGGGAAATGCTAAGATTAGGGATATGCTCATCCCTGTCTTGATTAGGAGACACAAATTTACTTGACATTCCTAAGAGCCTCTTCTTATAATGTGTCCAAATCTGAAGTGCTTATCAACCAGGGGGGGTCCATGCTTGGGCTTCAGGGGATCTTCTCAGGGAATCTTAAAATGGGTACATGAATCAAATATTTTGGGGACTGCCATCTAATGTTTTAATATGGGGGAATATCATTTAATTAAAAGTTGACATCAAATTAAATAATTAAAATATTAAGTCTTGGTAAAAGAAGTATGACACAGAATTGGAAATTCTAAGTTCTACATTAACTCTGTGAGCACCTGATTTGGACGGGGAAGTGAACTTCTCATTATCTGAGTAGGGAGCATGTTTTTTTAGCCACAGGGAAGAGAGGGTTCTCTGGATCTCAGCAACGACTCATTTTTCCCACAGGGCTGGGCAGATGATGTGAGGCGGTTTCAGAAAATATTCAGACACCCTCAGCACGTGCAGCTAAAGGTGGTTGCTGGCAACCATGACATTGGCTTCCATTATCAGTAAGTAGTTCAGTGAAGTTGCACCCTGAGAGCGCTCACTAACTATGACTTGAAACCTGCCACCATTCAGGTGAAAGCCTTATTTGTGCTGTGTGTGGGATATCTGTTGTCCTTGAACGATATAAGCCCTGGAACATAAAGTCCACAAGGGCAAAGACTTTTGTTTTGGCACATTGTACACCCTTAACAAATCCCTGTTGAATAAATGACTTGTATGTGCTCTTGGGTGATTCTAACTTGAAACTTCATTTAATAACCAATTATTTTCTTGGGGACGCAGAAATCAAGACCATTTAGCTTTTTGTAAATAGTTTTTACATAGTACTGATGAGATGCCAGCCTGTTTTAAGCACTTCATTGTTTTTTTTTTTCTCCTTAATGCCCATCCCCATCTAGCCCGTTCCACACACCCCCCCATCAACCCTCAGTTTGTTCTCTATAGTTAAGAGTCTCTTATGGTTTGCTTTCCTCTTTCTCTCTCTTTCCCCCCTTTCCCTATATTCATCTGTTTTGTTTCCTAAATTCCACAGAGGGGTGACAGCATATAGTATTTGTCTTTCTCTGACTTACTTTGCTCAGCATAATACCCCCTAGCTCTATCCATGTCATTGCAAATGGCAAGATTTGATTCTGAGTAATATTCCATGCATACACACATCACATCTTTTTGATCCGTTTATCAGTTGATGGGCTCTTTCCATAGTTTGGTTATTGTAGATGATGCTGCTATACAGTGGGACTAAGCACTTTACTTCCATATTTCAACTCATTTAATCTTTCCGGCGGTCCTATTTTAACCACTGTGCCAGTGAGGAAACTGAGGGTCTAAGGGGTACTGAGTCCTTATAGTCACTCTGGTAGAGCTGAGATTTCCCCTGATAGCCCGGGCAGCTGGAGCTCTCACCTCACAGAGCTAGTCCGGGACTCTAGTCCTGAGGTATTTCCTGTGTTTATGCTAACTCCTAAGAGGTCCTAAAATGACTTGCTCTGAAAAATGTTTCTTTTTACAACTGAATACAGGATGAGCACATACAAAATAAAACGATTTGAGAAAGTTTTCAACCCCGAAAGGCTGTTTTCTTGGAAAGGAATTAAGTGAGTATTATTTGTGAATTCTTATGAAGCCCCTTCCATCCTCAACTTCATTTTCTTTCTTTTTTTCTTTTTTTAAGATTTTATTTATTTATTCGTGAGAGACACACAGAGGCAGAGACACAGGCAGAGGGAGAAGCAGGCTTCTCGCAGGGAGCCCAATGTGGGACTCGATCCACTGACCCAGGATCACACCCTTGCGCCAAAGGCAGACACTCAATCGCTGAGCCATACAGGCGTCCCTGAACTTCATTTTCTAAGGAAGCTATTGTCCTGGGTCAGAGCCACGCTCTGTGTGGCTTGTTGTACAGTTTCTGATGAAGGCATGCAGGCCTCATCCTCCCTGATGGCCACAGTCAGGGTCACCAGCCTGGTGTTCCTTAACAACCTGCAAGTGGACCAGCCAGTTGATGACTTTGCCTGGCTGTCTGCAGTGTCTCTGGGTGATAGAGGTTTCATCAGCCCACTTTGTAAGGGAGTGAATTTTTATTTGTTCAAAATGTACTTAACTTGCTCTTGTGGGTATGTGTCCCAGGATTTGGGGGCAGGTATGTTCACCATGCTCTGTAGCTGTGTGCCATCCCCACTCCCATCAGCCTTGATTTGTAGCCCAAAGCATCCCAACCCTTTAGTCTGACCACATATACCAGTTCCCCTGCTGCATGGCCATTTTCATGCTGTCTCCGGACCCTCTCTGGTCTGTGTATGCATTTGCAGTGTGGTGGACAAGACCATATACGTTTTTTTAGTTGCAGACCTAGTGCAGAGAGAAAAGGTGGGAGAGGAAGGCTCTTCCTCTTTAGACCAGGGCCCCTGTGGGTGTCCAGGACTCATGGCTTTGGCTGTGGCAGGTCACCAGATCTGTCACAAGAGATGACCTATGACACTCCCAGAGACCAGGTCAGGGCTTCTCCACAAATGCTCACTCTTTTCCTCTCTTTGCCTGTAGAACTGAGTCTCTGGTAGCTTCCTTCCCTGCATCATATGAAGACTTGATATAGTTTTATGTCTTCTTTTTCCTTAGGCATAGAGTTTAAGAAACTTGAAACACACCGATCATATTTCAGATCAGTTGGTTAGTCAGCTCCTTATCGCTAAAATTCTTTACATTTCAAGCAGTCTTTACTGATAGGTGCCCTCTTCATGCCCAGTTGACAGGTGTGTAGGAAATCCAAGCATATTTGAAATGGGAGTCTGTAACAATATAATTAAGGTAAAGCGATTATAAAGGGCCACCACCAGTGACTATCATCATCCTGATTTGGGATCATGTGCACCAGTTAGCTCTGCCCAGCAACTCCCCCCCACCCCCGCCCCGCCTTGTCTGCTGCGTTTGCGGATGTTAGTGACTGTTGCCTGTGGTTCACTATATGATGATCACAGTATGTCATACATCCTGAGTACTTCCTAGTGGCAGGCGTGGTCGTAGTCTCCCATTCAGCCCTCGCAGGTCAGTGGCATGGGTGTACTGTGCTACCCCCATCTTTCCAGATGAGGTACAGAAGACACATGGTGAGATACTGGGCTCAATGGTGCTGTGACCTCAGAGCTTCTGTAATCTGGGATTTCTCACAAATTCGAGGTTAAAAATCCTTTGACTGCGTCTTAGACCCTCTCCCCCTATAATGCTGTTATTGTGCTTTCTTTGTATCAACTCCTACCTAAGGCAGATGAGTTGAGCTGAGGTTTAAAGCCGTTCTGGGGCATGTTTCCTCACACGGTGGGCGCCCAGCTTCTGGCTCAGGGAGCAGGGTCAGGAGACCCACAGGAAGCCAGTGGCCCTCACTCTGTTGCTCCCTCTGCCTCAGTTTCGTGCTGGTCAACAGTGTGGCCCTGGAAGGGGACGGCTGCCACCTCTGCTCTGAGGCGGAAAGGGAACTCATCGAGATTTCTCACAAACTGAACTGCTCCCTAGAGGTAGGAGGGCATCTGAATGTACAGGTGCCCCATTCTGGTATCTTCTGTGGGGACGGCCCCTGCACTTCGTGTTGTGTCCATCTGTCAGCTCCCTCTTCCTTTCCTACTGCTCGGGGAGTGCTGGCTTTGCTGGCTTAACTCATCTCTTTGTGGCAGGAACCTGGCTCCAGCCTGTGCAGAGGCCTGCAGCGGCTGCCAGGGTCAGCCCCGGTGCTCCTCCAGGTGAGCCAGGCCCCTCCAGGTGAGTGGGGCCCTCCAGGTGAGTGGGGGCCTCCAGGTGAGCAGGGCCCTCCAGGTGAGCGGGGGGGCCTCCAGGTGAGTGAGGCCCTCCAGGTGAGCGGGCCCCCTCCGAGTAAGCAGGTGGGTGCAGCTCCAGGGACCCTGCTCACACCTGGGCCTCTCTAACCACCCTCCCCCCGCCCCCTCAGCATTTCCCGCTTTACCGGAGCAGCGATGCCAACTGTTCCGGGGAGGACGCTGCACCTCTGGAAGAGCGGGGCATCCCCTTTAAGGAGAGATACGATGTGCTTTCCCAGGAGGCCTCACAGAAGGTTTGCAGTAGGGCGGGAGGCCTGCCCAGGGACAGCCAGACAGATGGCTGTCTCAGCCTCCTGAGGGTGGAGGGCAGACTTAGGCAACATTTCAGATTTCCATGCCATCCTTTGATCCTCCCCCTCCCAGCTGTAATTCTGTTTCCTAATACCGAGTTAATGATCTCCTCAGCTCCTCTTTATTCAGAGTTTTTTCACTAACTTAAATGTATTTGAAAATGTGAATGGAACCTAAGAGGTAATTTTGGGGGCAACCCTCTCAGGTCCCCTCCCTCTTCAGGAGCTTTGTACTCTCACTTTACTATCACTCAATACCCAAGACTTTGTATTATTGATTTTACTATTGCTCAGTAAACTTTGCTTTGCTGCCCACCCAAAAAAAAAAAAAAAGTTAATTTTGAGGGACTTAATTAAGATGTGCTTATTTATATAGGTTTATAGAATGTTTATATTCTATAAATACATATTTGTATAATTATGATATACAATATAATAAAATATAAATATGTTTATAAATTTATACAAATATTTCTAAAATATAAAATCTGAGATAAGAAGGATAGATTCCCCCTAAAAGCCTGAACTTACTTTTGATAATAGGGTCTAAACAAACCAAAGGATCTTAAGGAAAAGATAAAGCCCCCTACCAAGTAGGGATTTTCTATTTTACTTAATGGAATAAGTGAGTGGCCTGGCTCTGGGCCCCGATGGGGCTCTGTCCAAGCACTGACCCCCTGTTGCTTCCTCCCCTCGGTGTGGTAGCTGCTCTGGTGGCTCCGGCCCCGCCTCATCCTGAGTGGCCACACACACAGTGCCTGCGAGGTGCTCCACGGGGCGGGAGTCCCCGAGATCAGCGTGCCATCTTTCAGCTGGAGGAACAGAAACAACCCCAGTTTCATCATGGTAATGTGAACGTTTATTTTCATCTGAAAGCTTTCATAGAAGTATTGAAATCAACACAGTAATCAACTATTTAATTGCTGCAATCTGTAAAAAATGTACAGAAGCTATAAATACAAACTTCCCCTGCTCTGCACGCACACTTAGTTGGATACACTGACCCCTGTCTGAACACCTCTTTGGGGACAGATGAACGTGGCATTACCCCTGGAAGGGGCCAGGGAGGGGTGACTTACGGAGTGCTTCATCTCCACGGATGCCACTGCCCTCAGATAGTAGGCTCTAGGTTTTTAATTTTCTAAGGACACAGGGTCATGTCTTAGCTGTACTCGAATATCTTGTCTTATTTCCAAATAGGCCCATTTGCTCTGACAGGAAAATGCCACGGCTCTTGCGAGTTGCCTGGAGATGTTTCAGTTAGTGGCCACCTGATGTTTTTTTTAAAACCATTTTGTAATGGTTTTATGTAAGGTACTTTTACTTCATGAAAAGTTGGAGAAACCCTCACGTTTTCAAAGTAAATTAAACCATTCCTCAGTGTCATTCCAACATAGCAAAAACAGCTACAAAACAAGCCCACTGAGGTGCCTCTGGCACATGCATTTCTGCATAACAGGTTCCTTATTTTAGCATCAGATGGCATGAGAAATGGCCTTGTGCTCCTTGTTTCTCAGTGACCACTGATGTAAATCTCCATGCCTCCTGCATCTGTCATATGTGCTCACTGCATTTTAGCACACCTGCTGTGCTAGTTTCAATGGAGAGGTCAGATCCACTCAGCACGCTGGGAGCCTTCACTTCGTGTCTCCAGCCAGTGCTTGTGGTTGGTGGGTGGTGACCTGTGGGGGACGAAGGCTGTGCCCCTTAGTCTCAGGAGAAGAGCCACTTCCTGGCCTTACCCGAGTCAACCAAGAAGGCTGCCTTTCTTCCTCTGTCATGTCTAAGACTGTTGTGTGACGCCATGGGAAGGCTCTCACTGCAGCATTAACGTTCTCATTTCCTTTTCAGGGCAGTATGACGCCCACAGAGTATGCCCTGGCCAAGTGCTACCTGCCCTATGAGAACACCGTTCTGGTCACGTACTGTGTTGCAGCAGGGTTCCTGGTGGTCCTCATGTTAGTTCACTCTGGGCTTCTAGTCTCACCTTTTGTTTTTGGTTGGAACCTGCTCAGAAAATTTAAGACAACATAAAGAGCAGGAGACTTTTGTATGCTGTAATAAATAAGAAAGCCAAAGAAACTGAACTTGGGGCAGTACTCCTGTGAGATGAGGTCACCAGAGGCTGGCTTTACAGACGTCACAGAAACTATATATCACTGCTGCGAGTTCCTGCAGAATAAATAGTTGATTGTACTGTTCTCATGCTATAAAAATGGGACATGTACTCTACAACAAGTCTTTTTTTCTCATTTTATCAAATATATGTATAATCAAAGATCATGTCTGTACAATATGTAAAAGCTATTAAAGTCATCACTTGCATGCACTAGACTGTCCTGCCTTCCCCCAGATGGAGCTGGACGCCTGGGAACACACTTGGGATTGTGTGTGCAAAAACACTGGCTTTGCTTCTATCCCCCTATGAAGTGGTCCTCAAACCCCTATCTATTATAAAGCTGTACACTTAAAATAATAAAAGTACAGATGCCACAAGCAGGAATGGATTGTTCTCGCAGACTTTTGTACTTCTGTGCTAATAATGGAATCAGATTTTTAGAGAAGTGTAATTTTCTCTAGCAGACCAGGCTGTTAAATCTGAATTTAATGCCTGTCCACGATCAAAGAAACTTGAAAAAAAAGACTGGGAAGTGACCTTTGACATTTAAAAATACATATGTTTTGATGATTCTAAGCCAGATAAAATATGTTCTTTCTGTGTATTTTCTATGGGTCTAGCCCTGTCTCTGAATAGGAAGCTTAGCTGCGGGGGAACTGCTGAGTGATAACGTACAGAACAGCACACAACTGCACTTTTGTGCACGTGTGGGGGTGTAGCTCTGCCGTTCTTCATGTTGTATGTTGAAAGTGTGATGGAAAGAAAAATAATTTCTACTTTACATGTCTCATTTCAAATCAGAGCTTTATGCAGCAGGGATGAGAGGCACAGGAATTTAGTGATTCTGACATAAATCATGTGTTTATCACACCAATCGTCTATAAAGCTGTCATCCTTTCTTTCTTGGAAAGTCATATTTAAATCTGGATGCATTTATGAAGGATTATAAAATGCTGCCTTATAGAGTAAACTTTAAAATAGTAAAGACTAAAAGGAAATGAAGTAGCGTCAGCCAGGCTGTCACTTCTGGATTCCTATTGTTGAACTATAACTTTGGACATCTTTGCAGATTGTCCTGGACCTAAGAAAACTACCCTCGAAGCCGTGGCTGTGTATAGAATATGAAGCATCGCTGCTGTAGTGATTCTCACTTTCTAGATGTCGTACCATACTATAACTTTTCAGGTTGCACTTGGAAATCTTTCACATGGGAAAAAGCAGCAGTGTATTTTGACTTTGCATTTCAAATAAAGGTTTTATAATATTTCTTCTTCAAGAGGAAAATGGAGATGCCATCCTTTTATTCTCTTGGGCCAAACACCGACACCCGTCTGTCTTCTTGCTGTTTGTTTACAATGGAAACTGCGGTCAAGTGAGTGATTCAAAAGCTGACTAAGGGGATGGTTGACCTGTTTCCCCTCAGAGAGCTTGTAGAAGTCTTTAGATTGCAAAATAATCAAAAGACATATTGTCAAGAGGAAAAAAATCCTTGGTTTCTGAAAGAAGCTTGTGATGTGGGTACAAATTATTTGTAAGATGTGAATGATTAATGTGTATAATTTATATATGTGTGTGTGTGTGTGTGTGTATTAAATCAAGGATATTTTCAAAAGTACTAACCTGATAAAATATCCTAAATTCTACAGATACCATTCTCTTTTTTAGAGCAAGCAGCAGGTAATGTTGACATTTAGCTGTTCAGCACAATAAACACATTACTTTTACAGATATAGCCATAATCAAGGCACAAAGATCTACAAGGATTTTTTTAAGTAGTTATATAAAATAATATTACATCTTGTGGTCTGTACAGTTATAATAAACCAGCAAAAAAACAACAATATATGGAAGGAGACTCTTGTCCAAGCATAGTCAAAGTCTAGAGGATCATTTTTAGACAGGACACACTTTGCAGAGGTGCGTGTGGTAGGTTTCTGCCTAAATGTAAAAGGCTCAAAGTAGGTCTAATTTGATGTGTGAGGTTGGCAGCGACTCAAATAGGACTGAGAAAGGGTTTCTCTCCACTCTGTGACTTGAGGTCTATTCCAGCTCATGGGCCAATGCAGCTCAGAAGGGGCGGCCACTTGTCCGCCCGCAGCTTCATAAAGCTAGCAGCGCCAAGCATGTGGCTTCCCCCCTGTACCCCTGCCTCTACGATCATGCTTGGTAATTCAGAAAAATGTGCCATTTCTCCCCCATTTATCAAGTTCCTGCTGGATTACTAAAGCACTGAGTGGATGAAGAAAAGGGGCCCCCACCCAGAGAGACCACTGAGGTACCACCCATGTGAGAGAGTGTGGTGGTTTGCAGTGACACAAATTGGTGGGCGTGGGGCTGCAGAAGATTGTGCTCAGTGAAAACAAAAGCTACAAACCAAACCTGAGGGGAACAGAGGTAGCCAGCGGCTTGGTGGTCACACAGGAGCCAACAGAAAACAGGACAGGTGGCAGCCGGATGAAACTGGGAGCTCCCTACCATGGCTTGGGGCTGACAAATGGTCCTGAAATAAATGTTCCACCTGGCAGGGTGGCCAAGGGAGGAGAGGCAGGCGGAGAGAGGTGTGAGAAGGCACGCCCACCTCCTCCAGGGCTGCCTCACAAGAGTTCGTACTGTTTGAGGTGCATCCTCTGGATGATGTCACGGCAGTCGTTGAACACCCTGCGAATGTTCTCGGTGTCCACGGCGCAGGTGAAGTGTGGATAGCAGTAATGTTTGCCATCCCCTGTCGCTGTGCTGATCCTCTGCAAAAAAAAAAAAAAAAAAAAAGAAAGAAAAGAAAAAAAAGCTGTGCTGTGGGGTCATGGCCATCACAGGGTGGGAACGCTGCTGCCACCCCACTCATCCTTGGAGAAGAATTTAGGCAACACTTTGATCAAGGAGGAGGATCTGGTGTTGTGGTTCGTTTGACACAGGAACACTTAGCTGTCGGGGCTGTTTAAATACTGAGCACTGCTGGAAAGTCAGTCTCACACTTACCTCTGCCCACAGCAGCTTAGGGTTCAGCTGAGATAGGACATACATAGCCATTGAGAGAAATGAGGGTAGAATTTTCCAGAAATGAATGTCAGTCCTAAACCAGTGCTATCAAATGGAACTTTCTGCAATAATGGAAATGTTCTATATTCGCCCTGCCAAGAGGGGAGCCACTATCACTAGCTGATGCAATGGAGATGGACTTTTAATTTGAATATTAAATTTAAGTATCCACATATGACTAGTCGTTCTATGTGGATCGCACATCAGCCATACTGCCTCCTTCTCCACACAGAACATGAATGTTCTCTGGAGATGTCCTCTGGTTAGCACCGGGAGGTTTGTGGCTTTTCTCCCAGAGGAGAAAAAAGCATGATTGGTCATGATTCATAAGGCCATGTTGGAGTGACATGCTCATGTGCACCGGGAAGCTAAGGAGGGCAATGTGGAGAGAGGCTGTCATGGGCCAGACTGTGTCCTCCCCACACCAATTCATATGTTGAAGTCCTAACCCCCAGTGCCTCTGAATGTGACTATTTGGGGGTGGGATCTCTTTTGAAAGAATTAAGTGAAAACGTGGTCATGTGGGCGGCCCTGAACCCAGTAAGTTGGGTGTCCTCACAGGCCAGGAGGAGATTGGGACACACACACAGAGGGAAGGGCACGTGGAGACACAGCGTGAAGGCAGAAGGAGAAGGTGAACACTGACAAGCCAAAGAGAGAGGTCTCAGGAGAAGCCAACCCTGCTGACACCTTGACCTCACCTTCTAGCCTCCAGAACTGCCAGCCTCCACCCCAGCCTGTGGTGCTTTGTTATGGCTGCCCCCTACTGCAGATGCAGAGGTCACGTGGAGCTTTCTTCACAGATGCCCACAGGGGTCCCTGGATGTCCTCCTTGTCCCCTTCACCCAACCCCTTTTCCTGCAAAGCATCTTGGGAATCAGCTGTTGGAGAGAAACCGAGACACACCCCTGCCTCTCTGTCTAAAGATGTTCATCAGGTTAGGAAACTCCTCCAGGCAGGACAGACTCAGTTTTGGCAATAGTTCAGCTTCTCCTGAGCAATTACAAGTTTTAAAAGACTCATGGACACGGGAACGGGCAGGTCAGGTATCTGTAGCCCTAAGCACTGAGTGGAATAACTGGCACACAGGGAGGAAGTACATCGTGGGTAAGAATTAGGCTTTCTTCTGGAACCATCTGGCCAGTGTGTCCCTGCCTGGAGCAACAAGAACGTAAGGCAGAGTCATTACAAAGGTTGTTGCAGTTTGCTTGTCTTTAAGCACACGAGACATTTTCTACCGTTTCTAAACATTTTCATTTTAAATGACAGAAATAAGCTTGTCGCCCGTTTCAGACTAGCTCACGGGGCCGCTGCCCGTCTCTGAGGCTCTCTCTGAGATGATGTTCAAGGTAAAAGAAAATGGAGGGGGTGCTCATAAAATACCGGGATGAGAAGCCCAGTGAAAACATACAGGCTTCGGTCAGAGGCCAGGGCATCAAGACACGGGGTGCCCACCTCCTGCTCTGCTGCTTAAACCTGCTGCTGTGAAAGGTCTGGTGACGCTGCCCCGGAGGCCCCTTGGCCTGCTGACGGCCTGGCCCCCTCCTGCTGGCCCCTGGCTCCCTCCATCCTGGGTTCCTCCCACTCTGGGAATGAGCTGGGGCTCTCCGACGTGGGAGGAAGTGACCCTGACTCGGCGGGCCTGGTGCTCAGCGTCCTCCTCGTGTGAGGACAGTCAAGGAGACTGCTCACACAGTATGTGGCCCTTCCTTACCCGACGGCTCTGGCTCTTCCCATTACCCCTACCCCTCTCGGCCCAAGCCCCCCCCTCCACTTCCGGCCAGGCGCCCCCACATCCCCCCCTCTCCATTTACAACCTTTAATCCCCACCCCATCTTGGGGCCCTCTGTCAGTAAAGATATTGTGTTGCCCAAATCTGCTCCTGTCCAGATTCAATACTGATCAATAACCATTGACCAATATCAGTTACTGATCAAGAACCCACCCTGCTGCCTTCTAAGTCTGGGGTGTGGGGCTCCAGCTCAGAACTCCTCAGACGACACACTGACCCGGGCAAATTCCACCATGAAGAATGTAAGGCAGTAACCCCTGACTTGCAAACTGAATATAAACCAGATTTCGTCCACTGTCAGAGCATAAAAGGTCTCTCCCAGCACCCAAACGGTGGTGGCAGGGCCACTCATTTTGGGAGGGGCGGTTCCGTTTCTGATCTTTAAATACCTAATGTGCACACTTAATTAACTTTCAGTTGTCATTAGAATAGCATTTTTCTGGAACACTTTTTATGTGTTTTTCTATTTTTATGGTTTTGCAAGATGCTCCTCAAAAAAGGAGCCCGTTATCACAGGCTAATCTAGACAGGTTCTAGACAGTCGGACAACAGAGAAACCTGCCTCAGTTTACACAGTATTTCCCGGACTTCCTCGCTGCAGAGCCCTTCCCCCTGCTACTGGATAAACTCCGGGAAGCACTGCTCCTCAGAACTCACTTGGGCACTTGATTTTCATCCCCCTTTAACTTCCTCACTCAGTATAGGATTCAGGCAGCAACCAACAGGGGCCGTGGTAGGAAGAGGGTAGAGAAAGAGGTTCCCCAGCGGAGTCAGGCTGGCACCTGATCCCCCATGGAAATGCCTGGCACACTGTGGACCATCCCCACTGCAGATGGGGCTGACTGTCACCTCTCCAGAAGCCCGCAGTCCACGGGTCCCGTGTTTTTTGGGCATTCCTGGGAAAATGCCCTTGGGTGTTGTGGTGTTGTGGCATCTACTAGTTTCAAGCTAGTAAAAACTCACAGTTTTCAAGAGAATATTCTCTTAAAAGGATGGTTATTCAAGAGAAAATGGACGGATGGATGGATGGATAGATAAAGAAAATTTGGCAAAATTTTACCAACTGGCCAATTTGGGTGAAGAGTATCTGGGAGTTAATTGTATAGGTCTTTCACTCTATGTAAGTTTGAAATCATCTTGAAATAAAAAGTAAAGAGAGATCTGAATTTGTCTAAAGCCTGAATTAGCCTCCTAGTGGTGAATAAAGGGAAAGGTCTGTTCAAAGTCTCTTGGAAAATGCAACAAGTGAATACAGTCTGGCTCATCTCAGTGCCATTCCCAGGGGCCCTGTGCCCAGTGGGCAGAGTCCTGTGCTCCCAGCTTGGAAGCTGTGTGACCTGAGGCGAGAAGCCTAAACTCTCTGAACCTCAGTATGCTCAGCGGTGAGAGGAAGCAACACCACCTTCCCTCATCTCTCATAATTTGGGGGAGATTAAATGAGATCTCGAAAAGTTAAGTAATATGTAAATTGCAAAGAACAATATAACTCTAAGGTGGTAGAGAAACAAAGAATGAAATTGCTTACCAAAAATAGGTCTCGGATAAAGAATTTAGCTCGGGTAACTTTGGGATCTTCTCCTGCATCTGGTGTTGCTATAAAAAGTCCAAATGGAATTTAGTTTAAATAATGTGCAACAAACATACAACTCTATGGAAAATATAAGAGGAATGACAAAGTTGGGATGCCGTACACCCACAGCACTTTATTTCTCCATTTAGCTCTAATAAAAGTTTTGTTTTTGTTTCTGGTGGTGGAGGATGACTCCCACTCAAATAAAATGAAAGCCTGCCCCGGAACTGACCAAGCTCACAGCTGCCATCCCCTTCAGAGCTCTGGTGAGGGAGAAGTTCCAAGAGGCTGTTTTGACACTGGTTGTGTTCATCTGGTCCGCATTCTCTCTACTTAGCCTTGTTCTAGGAGGACCTCCCCTTCATGTTCCTACCACTGACTTGGACATTTGGAGTCCTTACATGAAATCAACTGCAGTGACCTGATTGTCCCATGCAGATTCTAAGTTCATGAGGTCCTTCAATATTTTCTGTGATCCCTGAAATCTACTTTCTTAAAATCTAGGCTTCACTGCATGTTCTTATTACTCTCTTCCTCCTCTGTTGCAACTACTCTGATTATATCATTACTCATGGCTTAGCAGGTGATGGGGATTGCTACAGGTGATGAATGAGGCTTGACCTGGAGACCTGCCATGCTTGGCCCAGGCAGGTGCCTGGGTGGGCTCAGTGCATGGGGAAGGAGGAGCCAGGGGGGAGAGGAGCACAGGATCCACAGAGGGTGTGTGTGTGGGAAGAGCACAGGATCGATGGAGGGTTATGGTGGGGGAACCTAACTTGTAGTATTTCCTGGTCAGGCAGGTATGGCCTCAGCTTGTGGTGGGATTAAGTCCCTGTTGGTAGGGATCATACCTAGGGTTGTGGTTGTATTTCAGAAAGATTTTGGCAGAAATTCAGAGAATGTTTTGGAACATTGAGGGAGCAGAGTAAGGGAGTCCAGGCAGGGAGCTATGTTGGCCAGATCCAGAGCTGAGAAGAGGGGAACAAGTGCCAGGACCCAGATGGAGAAGGAAAGAAGGACAAACATGTTACAGTGGACACTTGAGTGTTGACTGTCCAGGGTATGGGGCACGGGGGCCTGGCTGGCAGGAAAACAAAGAAGGTCCAGCTCGCTGGAGGCCACAGTCCAGGGAAGAGAGGGCAAGGCAAGTTGAGCATTGCTGACTCCTCTTAGGCTGGGGGCAGGCCACCAGGCTGGCTGAAGTTAGCACGAGGACCACTATGAATTTTCTTCACTTCTTATCTGAGTTTTCCTGAGTTTCTAAGGAAATTCCCTTTCTTTCTACTTTATCTAATTGGAGGTTCAAAATTTAAGAAGTAGTATCATTTTGTTACAAATAAATCCCTCCTATAAGGTGGCCCAGCATGTGCTGAGAACTGAAGAGCAGCAGTTGAAAATGAGGTCTGCCTGGGGCGGGGCCTTCCAGGATTTAGCACTGAGAGCACCCCTCCTCCATGCTCCCTGAACCTTGGAGATGATTGGCCACCCTGATGGTAGCCTAAGTCATGGCTAGGGACGAGAGGTAGGCATGGTGGCTGAAAGTGTGGGCCCAAGGGGTTCAGAGGCTGCCTTGTCCTGGCAAGCTCTACCTGAGTGATCTCAAACAAGTGACTACCTCTTTCAGCTCACTTTCCACAGGAAAACACGCAAATAACAGAAAGGTAGTTATTGTTAGGGTTATGGTGAGGGTCAAGGTCGATGTAAAGGGCTGACACAGTGCCCAGTTCACAATAGACCCAACCAAAGCACCAAGAGACACAACTTAATTCAGCCAGTGACCTACTCACACCCAAAAGTGCCCTGTCACCTACTGCACAGTTTGAATGGAAAGTCAAACCTTGACATTTCTACAAATGGAATCCTAAGTAGAACATTTTAATACTCCCGTATTCTAAGGTGGGGCAGTAGACCAGACGGTTGATTCAAATTAACTGAAGTCCCTAAAATCATCAGAACTGTTTGATCTATAGTAACAGGCCTATTATAACACAAAATCAATTCTTTTCCTTTATCAGGAAAAACTAGTTCTGAAATCTTACCATCTTCAGGAACAGTATAATTTGCATACTCTGGGAAATAATCTTCAATTTTTGATTTCCCTGCCAAGACTTTTTCTGCCAGCATGTCCTGTTTGTTCAAGAACAAGATGATAGAAATGGTCCGTAACCACCTGAAAGGAGAAATAAACATACACACTTCACATTTGCCGCTACGTGAAAGTACCTGTAACATAGGAGTTACCTGGTGAAAACCACAACATTGACATTTTCCTAAAGTGCATAAGATTTAGAATTATTTGATATACTAATCTCCTGGATACCCACTCCAGTTGCAAGCAAGACATAAGTAAACTTTTTTTAATTTTAATTTTTAAAAAGATTTTTCTGTTTATTTATTCATGAGGGACACAGAGAGGGGGAGAGAGAGAGAGAGAGAGAGAGAGAGAGAGAGAGAGAGGCAGAGGCACAGGCAGAGGAAGAAGCAGGCTCCACGCAGGGAGCCCGATGTGGGACTCGATCCCGGGTTTCCAGGACCACGACCTGGGCCGAAGGCGGCGCTAAACTGCTGAGCCACCCAGGTGTCCCTATAGTTCAGTACTTTCTAATTTATCTTTGCTGGGAATGCAATTTTACTGGTACCAAAACTAAGATTTATTTATGTAATAAATCACCTGGATTTTTGCAGTGCAGTTTACTAACGAAGGCTGGGAAAACTAGAAGTTAGAGTGTTAATAATAACAACAAAACACATGAGTCATCAGCTAATCATACAGAATGTCATCTGTAGCTGGTTTGGTTTTTCCTGTGCTGAATCTGAACAGGGTGAGGTTCTCTGGAGTTGGAGCGGGATGTAAATGAGACATGGATCAAGACCACTGCATTGGACACTAACGAGAGGTGCTCAAGTACAGGGAAAGTGAAGGATGGGAAGCTTCTCTCTCCGTTTTACTAAACAGACACTAAGAATTGGCTTAAGATGAACTCAGGAGGTTGGGATCCCTGGGTGGCTCAGCAGTTTGGCGCCTGCCTTTGGCCCAGGGCATGATCCTGGAGTCCCGGGATCGAGTCCCGCGACAGGCTCCCGGTGCATGGAGCCTGCTTCTCCCTCTGCCTGTCTCTGCCTCTTTCTCTCTCTCTCTCTATCATAAATTAAAAAAAAAAAAAAAAAGATGAACTCAGGAGGTACATTGGCAAAGCCTTTGTAAATTCTACTATTTCATATGAATCAAGCTGATGATTAGTGCACAGAAATCTTACTATCAAGTAAAAATATAATCCATTTTTCCTTCAAATGGACATAACTTTAAAAAATATAGAATCTGGGATGCCTGGGTGGCTCAATGGTTGAGTGTCTGCCTTCAGCTCAGGGCGTGGTCCTGGGGGGTCCTGAGATTGAGTCTCACACTGAGCTCCCTACAGGGAGCCTGCTTCTCTCTCTGCCTCCCTCTCTGTGTTGTGCTCGAATAAATAAATAAAATATTTAAAAATATATAGAATCCTGGTAAAAATGAATTTTTAATCAAAGAAAATTTAAATGCAGGAAAAAATCAAATGTAATCACACCCAGAGGCAACTATTAGAACTATTAGTTGTTTTTACATCCAGGTTTTTTCCTATCCTCAGACATATGTATAAAACCAGATCATGGTGTTTTTATTTTTATTTATTTTTATTTTATTTTATTTTTTTTCATGGTGTTTTTAAATCTGCTTTTTCATTTAACAATATTGTGGTCATTTTCTCATGTAACTGTGCTTGTGTTTACATACATATATAAATTTATATATATAGATTTATATGTGTATATTTAAATATATAAAAAATTTTAATGACTCTAAAGTATCCCTCCTATAACCAATATTTCCTGACTCTTTTTCTTTCTCATTAATTGTCTTAGTACTATGTGCCACTGAGAACAGTTGTTAAACACTTACTTGATAGCGAAACACTTTTCTGATAATCCAAATGTTTTGCAAGGTCAGCTTATGTTTCCTGTCCTCCTTGGTGATATTTCTTATTAAACAGTTCAGAAAACACTTTGATTTTTAACTACATATGTGTGTACTGTATGTGTGCTTCTCCTGGATCTTTCTTTCTAAAATAATCACCCCTTTTGCAATAGTAGCTGTTTCAAACATGATTATGCTGTGTTTTCTGACCTGTAAGGGATCTTCTAGAGATCATCTAGTTATTTGTGGATGGTACTTTGTAAATTTTAAAAACCAAACAAGGGGCACTTGGGTGGCTCAGTCAGTTAAGCATCTGCCTTCAGCTCAGGTCATGATCCTGGGGTCCTGGGATCGAGTCCTGTGTTGGGCTCCCTGCTCAGTGAGGGGGTCTCCCTCTCTCTTTGCCCCCTCCCCCCTGCTCATTCTCTCTCTCAAATAAATAAAAAAAATCCTAAAAAAGATAAAAATAAAAAATAAATTTGAATCCTAGATATAATCTTGAGCTCTTAAAACAGATATTTAAATTTTCTTGACAAAGCACTATCAAAGCTTCATCAAAGAATACTCCCCATATTAAGTGCGTCTATACAGGATATGACCAAAAGAGATCTTGCTAATGGTTGTGGATTTATCAGTACAGAAAGAATGAGTTTATCTGGAGAATAAAAACGAAAGTGAGTTGAGTGGTATTTTTAATGAAAAAAAATTTTCGATCCAGAGGTGCAAGTGAATTTATTTTTGTAACCTGTTGTTCCAGATGCTTTCGAAAAGGTCCAGGGACTCTCTGAGCCTGTTGGTGTTGTTATCTTCCCGAATCACCATGTTGTAGCTGCTGCAGGCTGCGACATAAATGATAGCTGTGACGTCTGTGTGGGAGAAGAGAGACAAAGGGAAGCGCCTCCGTTAGACAGGCAGTCACTGTGCGGGTATGATAACGTCCGCACACAACTGCTACTCATTTTCCTCCCGTGATTATGAGAATGACTGAAGGAAGCACTGTGCGTATAACTGGTCCTTTCACTCATGTACCCATACAAGCCAATGATAAATGTAAATTTGGGATGGTTCAGTCCATGATGAGATTCAGATTCACATTTAAGGCATGGAATAGATGATCTCATCCAAAGCTACTTCAGCACAGTAGCGGGAATGAGCGTGAGAATTCATCTCTGTTCTTGAGAAAACATAGGAATCACCGTTAAAGCACTGGATCCATTTTCTTCTTTCATCCCTCTGGCCTCCGACATCAAACATGCTGTGGAGGAGCAAGAGGACACAGTCATTTGAGGCGAGACCCCCTGTGCTTCCCTCCTCTGCTCTGGCTCCCGGCCTGCAGCACTGCTCCCTGCACAGCCTGGGCATACAGCTCCACCCGCTCTGAGGTTCTGCACCACTGTCTGGCCCAGGAATCCACACCCAGTTGTTCCTTGGGGTCACAGTCCTCACCCTGCAGTCACCAGGTTGGCCTGGGGCCCACCTCTTGGGCAGCCTGCGTGGACCATGCACCTGCTTGAGCGGCTGCTCTGTACCTACCCAAATGCCGCTGGATATTTCTCACCTTCTCAGGTGGCTTTGGCTCCCACCTTCCTCCCTGCCCTAAACTTACTGCATGCCCTTTAGGGCTACAGAATCTGTATGGGCTTATTCACAAGGGCAGTGAGGTACATTTGGGATGACAGAAACCCCAGGACCCACAGGTGGACAGCTGGATCCCCAATCCCATTAGGGCCCCAGCAGCCAGCCAGGGGGGGCATCCTGCCCTGTCTCTGCAGGCCTGCTCTCAACAACTTACTGAAAGTTTACTTTGTCCACTTGGAATCGGGTCTCAAAAATCCCTGATGTCAGTACTCTGCATCTGAGAAGGTCCTGAGAATAAGACAAACCAAGAGGCATCATTGTTGTCCTTCAGAAGGAGAGCCCTGAATGCAACCACAATAACCCAGTTTTTCAAATAACCGTTTTTTTCTAAATTGTAAGAGAGACAATAATAGTTAAAAAGTCAGACAAATGCTCTGCCCTCCACCTCCTCCCCCCAAACAGAAAGTCACAATTAACATACTGGTTTGGTCTTAGAGACCTAATAGCTGTGCTTATATTTTCTTTAGGATTTTTCTTTTCTTTTTTTTTTTTTTTAAATCACATCTGCACATGTCTGAGTGCTTCCTATCACAGGTATACCTGACATGAGATCCTGGGGAGCCACCTGTTCTGGGTGCAGACCGTTTGGGTGAGAAGTTAAAGGGTCAATTGCTGTTGGGTAATTTCGAGCTCTTGGGGCCAGTCTCATAGAGAGATGGATTGCAGGGGAGAGAGGACCTCAGGCTTCCAGGGGACGCAAAGAAGAGAGAGCTGCCAGGAGGGGCCCATAGCCAAGGCCCTCCAGGGACACATATACTGGGGGAGTCTTGGAAAGGCAGTTGAGAACGGAGTCCCTAGCTTCCAAGGAGTTCACTAGCTCTAGAGGTGTCTGGGGGGCTTCTAAGCCGAGCAGTTCAGGGTGATCTGAGTCTCTGCAGATGCCTGATGGCCAAGGTTCCAGGGGCATAGGAGGTCCCTCTCTGCTACTTACAAATGTGCAGTGGGGGCGCTTATATCCAGCTTAGCCCACAGGCCACACTTGGAGAGTGTGTCCGTGATGTGGGACCCACACTAGGGCCCAAAGCAGAATGCGCAGAATGCACGAATCTGGAGAAGCAAAGGTGGGGTTTTCTGTGGACGCCTCCAAGAGGAATGGGAATTGCATGTTCCTATTCCACAGATAAGATTATTTTGGTGTTGGCAGTTCAGAAATCTAGCACATTTTAGCAAGCCACGTCAGGGAGCAAATCACAGGGTATGGTAAACATGCCACATGCCCCTGCAGGGACAGTGGAAACAAGTTGCAAGAAGTAGCTATTTATGGATCCCCCCCCCCATTAAAAATATCATTGAATAAAACCGGCAATTCCTCGAATCTCGCCAAATTCCAACAGGTGGCTGGGGCTCTCTCTAGCTTCACATACCTGGTCTGTGGGTGTGTAGTCCACCAAACTGACACTGTCGATTCTCTCCAGGAAGCTGAAAAGAGAGCCAGCAAATGCTCAGGGGTGCTCTCTGACGGCTTTCTCCTGGGCTGTGGGCACGGGGGGTGGGACAGTCGCCCGAGCAGGGCAGGGAAGCTGGGGCAATTCTGCCTTAGGCTAAAGCTGCATTTTCTATCCCCCCCTCGCACCCCCACCCCAGCCTCCGCCTTCCGGCCCCCTCCTTCGGGGTGGAGCCAGGAGCAGAAGGCCACGTTGCAATGTAAACACGGCGTGGGAGGAGGCCAGAGGTGGTCCTTCGGGCGGGTGCAGTGTGCGTGCGCGGGCCAGCGGGCCTCGCCTGGCTGTGCACCTGCCGCCAGGTGCGCTCCCGGGGCCGCGCGGCGGGGGGGGGGGGGGCGGGAGCACGAGGTGTCAGCCGCCTGCGCGCGGGAGACCACGTGGCCGCTGGGCGCGGTTCCTCGGCCTCCGCGGAGGCCGCCTTGTCCGTCCGCCTGAGCTAGAACAGCGTCTCACCATCTCCCTGCCAACCCGGCTTTACTTTCCCGCATGGCATTCGCCGTCCACGTTTATTTGTTTACGTTCATTACCTCTTTCGTCCCCCGGCAGGGGCAGGGCAGGCCTCGTGTCGCTGGCCCGGGGAGCCCGAGCACGTGGCACAGGCCCGGCCCCCGGATCTTTGTTGGAGGAACGAGTGTCCGCCCCCCTCCTCCCGCAGCCGGCAGAGGTCTGAGAGGCCCGGCCCATAGTGACACTGCGGAGGTTTTCAAGACACAGGGGACACGGGGCCTGGTTACCCGGTGAGCGAGGACTCCTTCTGGCGAGGGCGGGGGGGGCAGCGAGGCTTCAGAGGGAAGGACACAGAGGAGGGGGACGGGTTGGAGTGGGCCCCGGCCTCTTGGCTGGGGAGACCATGTGCCCCAGCCTGAAGGGACACGGCGACTTTCTTGCCTGTCCAGCTCTGCTGTGGTGGGGGTTCCTTTACCGAAGTAAAACAATGATGGGCCTTCCTCTAGTGCTGTCGTGCTTGTGTCACCACCCCATCCCTACAAAGTCCCTCCACCAGCCTGCATGGCAGGCCCATGAGATGCTTCTCAGCATGCACAAGACAGAGGCCAAAGGTACATGAAGACCACTTAATGCCCTTGGCCATTGTTATCTCCTTCCTACTGGAGAGGTAAAAGTAGTCCTCAGTGGTCCAGGATGGTGGCCTGGTGCTGGGGTGACATATTGGCAGCCCCTCATCCATGCACCCTCGTGGACAAGGGCCAGCAGCTCCACAAACAAGACCTGCCCTAGAGGCGCCCTTGCCACAGGTAGGCCACAGGTGGAATGTAGGAAGGGGCAAGAATGGGTCTGCTGGTGGAAGGGATTTCCTTTCAGAGACAGGAAGTGGCAGGAGGGCAGCATCAGGAACGAACTCGTTTCTGCTAGAAGATAGGGCCGGTCCTACCCCTGGATGGCAACTGTGGTAGCGGTGGGTGGGAGAGCCACCTGCTCCTGGAGAAGGACAACAGAACGATGGCCAGGTGGCAAGGCTTCAGAGAAGCCAAAGGGACTGTGATCTGCCCGGGGCCTCTCTGGAGTGGGCACTGCAGGCCCTGGGAGGTGCTGCTATGTGCCTAACCCGAAGGTGGGAGAACTGGCTGGGGCAGAGCTAGTTCCCAAGGGGGAGAGGCTTGGACAGAGTACAGACAGCCCTGCAAGTGCCACAGGAGGGGCTACGGGGAGCGAGGGAAACATGGGAGGTGCCAGGAGGGGCCTGGCTGCCTTGAGGCCTGGTTTGAGAGCCACAGTGTTGTGTGGCTCAGTCCTTGCTGGCTCAAATTTGGTGGAGTGGAGAGTCCTGCTGAAGTACACAGTGAATTCCCAATCATCTAGCAGGTAAGGGGCAGAAAGACCTGTGATGGAGAGTCTTCAGCTCCTGGAAAGGGGGTTCTGGTCTCTCACCCAGACAACTGGGTGGGTCTGAGGGTGGGGTGGGGGCAGATGGGCTGCTGCCCTCACACTGTGTAAGCTATAATAATTTGATTCAGAGATGGTCTGTCCTCTTGGCAGGAGACATATAATACTAAACATGTGTTACAGAAACCAATCATCTCTGATTAAAGGGGCTAGGAAATGAACCTAAATATGGAGCCTATGGCTATAGTTAGAGTTTAGGAAGCAACTAATTTCAAACAGGATGCAAATAAAGTAGAGGTAGGTGGGTGAATTTATTCAGATGGTAATGACTAGTATAAGTAGAAACGATGAAATGTTAAAAAATACATCAAAAGTTCTTGATAGGTGTGCTTAAAGACTGCCTTCCAAAGGAAGCAGTGGGAGTACCTTACTGAGCCCCATTAAAAATAAGTGGTTTGGAGATGCCAGTGACAAAGGCAAAGATGTCAAGCTCGTTCCCATCCCTAATCTCCACGATGGAATTCAAAGTTCCTTCCAGCTCTGATACTTAATGATCTGAGACCCGAAAGGCGTCAATGAACATTTCCAAGAGTATCTTCTGCATCGTTACTGATGTTGAATGGTATTGTCAGTTCATGCATTTCAAATTTGTGCAATGAAAAGAAAATGTGAAAATTCCCCCCCCCCCGAATGTGAATGTGTCCCCCAGTTCTTTGAAAGACCCTCGAAGACATAAAGGAATGAAAGAGAAATCTCTAGTAGTAGATTTCTGCCAACCTTAGTCTGGTTCAATCAATATATTTTCCAGCATGTTGTAGAAACACTTCAAACTGGAGCTCCTAAGATAGTATCTATAGAGAAATGAGTTTTAAAAGGGTCTTCTAAATCATACATGAATTTTGTATGACTACATTTTAAAGGGTTAGTAAAATTGTCTTCTTAAATATGCCACTGCCTCTTAAGTGCAAAAATTAACCAGATTTAAGAGCCATTCATTCACACTAGATATAGAGTTGCAAGACAATACCAAACTACGATTATAAAAAGTCACCATGGTGATATGCACTCTATAAAGAAGTAATTAAAAAGCAATTTACTTTGATTTTTTCACATTATTTCCTGCTAAAGCTGAGGATATTCATGTTTGCAGAAACATTTTCATTCTTGTCATGTATATTCCCCCTCTTGCTTAATACTGGCACCAAATAGCAGCTCATTGTCTGTTTCTCACCTGCTATTTGCTACCCCAGTAAAATAACTCAGAAGTCACAGAGTTCTTATGAATGCGGAGTTGATCATGAAGAGGGATGAGGGATCACGAAAATATGAAAACTGTTGTTAAATACCTTTAAACAATGAGATCTGAGAAAAAGCACCAACTAAATTTAATGAGAGTATTCATAATTATTTTGTTTGTGAAAAATGTAGCAAGTTGGAACTCTGCCGAAGGTTGGTAAGAAATTTCTCTCAGTTACAGAAATTTACTTCGTGATGCTAACGTACGTGATATAAAAACGCTGTGGAGGAGAACAAGATTACCTACATGGTGACAAGGTACCAGGTGGTTCCCATGTGCAGCAGGTTGAGGTCCATGCTACTTAGAAGGTGGTCCTCAGACCAGCAGCCGCAGCAGCACCTGCAGACCTTGGGGATGAGGATTTGCAGCTGAGCCATATCCCAGGTGGTTCTGATGCGCAGTAGCCCCGGGGATTCAGTGACCCCTGTGCACATCACAGTCTGTGGAATGCTTTTTCCTCTCTGTTTTTACTGCCATACTGCTCTTGGCTCTCTCACTTCACTGGGACAATAGTTTTTTGGTTTTTGTTTTTTTTAAGATTTTATTTATTTATTCATGGAAGACACACAGAGAGACAGAGAGGGGCTGACACAGGCAGAGGGAGGAGCAGGCTCCATGCAGGGAGCCTGATGTGGGACTCCATCCTGGGTCTCCAGGATCACACCCTGGGCTGAAGGCAGTGCTAAACCGCTGAGCCACCTGAGCTGCCCGATACAGTTTTTGATGACTCACACTCCTGCTCCTTTCCTCAGCGTAAAGTCCACATGTTCAGTCAGCCTGGCCTTTGAGCCCCTCCCAGTCCGTCCAGTCTCTTCACTCCTTTTGACGTCTTGACATGGATATCGAATGAACCCTCCACTCCTTTCAAATCCCCGTAAGGCTTTGGGCCTCTCAGACCTTTGGGTAATTCCTGCTTCCTTTTCTTGCTAGTTCCAGATTCAACCCTACCCAGAGGCAGTTCTAACCACTACCAACATTGTGATTACATTCTCTGCGTACTTCATGATTTGATTAGCACAGACTACAGCCTTATACTATGACTTACTGCTTTGTTCAAAGTCAAGGTGTCAAGCGCACTGATCTTAAGTGTTCATCTTGATGACTTAACATTTTTTAAGATTCTATTTATTCCTGAGAGACACAGAGAGAGAGGCAGAGACACAGGCAGAGGGAGAAGCAGGCTCCCTGCAGGTAGCCTGATGCAGGACTCGATCCCAGGACCCCAGGATCATGACCTGAGCCAAAGGCAGATGCTCAGCCAGAGCCACCCGGGTGCCCTGATGACTTAACATTTGTATACACTCATGTCCATTTTTCTCTTTATGTGTATGCTTTACCTAACTGTACTGAAGACTGTTTAAGGAAGAAGTGGCGTTTTTTTTTTTTTCTCTAGAAAGGAGCCCCAAATAACCAACATCTGATATACTTTGGTCTCAATCTTTTATTATATGCAGTCATTCTAAATAAACGCTGCTGAACTGTCTGTCCTGCTACTATTTGAGAGGGAGGGATGATGTATAAACTGTGAAGAGCAGGAACAAACACTGGAATTTGGGGACATGCTTCTGAGGAGACACATGAGGGCTCTGGCCGAGTGCCCGCTGCACCCCCTTTACACACTATATTCGTTGTCATTAGAGAGCTCCTGGACGTGATCACGGGTGAGAGCCCCGAGTGAGCCATGCTTTCATGCTAGGAACTACTACCAGGTGCCAACTGAGCTGCGTTCCACACCAGGCCCAGTAATTGTGACCAAGACAGATGGTGTCTTATCATCTTGTAGAAAAACAAATCTAGGTAAACCAGGCAGGTATTTTTGCTAATGCCATTCGGTT